TTTTTGTGCCTGCCTTTTGCCCTTATCTGAAGAGTCTGCCTGAGGTTAAAGTGAAGAGTTTTAGAGTTGGCAAAGGAAGTCTCAAAACAGCCTGGTATAGACTCTGACCTATGGTTATTAATGGTAACTCTAATGAAGCTTTACAATAAAATGGAGTAAGATGAGCAAGAAAAAATATATGATGTAGAACAATTTGAGGAGAAAGGAGAACCAGGAAGTGGAATGGAGCTAAGTCCTGTGTTCAAGGAGATGAACAGATTAAGAAATAGAATAAAGGGAATGGTGACCTCAGGGCAAGATCCTACCCAGAGAAGTTTCCAACTTGTGAAAAGAAATTAAAGAAAAGTTTAGAGCTGGGTGTGGTGGTGCACACCTTTAATCCCAGCACTGGGAAGGCAGAGGCTGGCAGATCTCTGAGTTTGAGGCCAGCCTGGTCTACAGAGCAAATTCCAGAACACCCAAGTTCAGGAAGTGAAGGGAAACTGGAAAACAGAAAGCTGATGGAGATGTAATGAATGAAGGGGTCATATTCCAGCCCCAGCAAGCAGCAGAACTTGGCAGCTTCAGCCACATGGCTCTGACTTCAGAGTCAAGGATAGAAGAAAGGGGCTGTGGAATCTCCCTCCATGACTAAGGAAAGCTACTGAGGCCAGGCATGTGTCAGGGGTGTCCCCGAATGGAGGCCTAAAGAAGCCGTTGTGTGAAGCTATGAAGGTGAAGCCTGGATTGCCTTGGAGACCCCAAGACGTTAGAGATGCCAGAACCATGGGATACCTGCCAAAGAGAGCTGCTAACGGAAAGTGGAACCGGCTCAAGAGAAAAATAGTGTGTTACAGTCAACAAATCTGAAAGGAATTGGAGATCTATAGAGTGTTTTGACATCAGACATGGAGATGTAGCGTTTGGAGTTTTCCTAGCTGGTCTTACTTTGGTCTGGTACTGCCTTGCTATGCTCCCTTCCCTACATTCTGGAACAGTAATGTATATCCTGTGCCATTATATGTTGGAAGTATGTGATCTGTTTTTTTTATTTTGATTTTATAAGGGATTACAGTTAGGAGATTGCATGAATCTCAGAAGAGACTTTGAACTTTGGACTTTAAAACATTGTTGAGACTGTGATAGACTATGGGGACTTTTGAAGTTGGACTGAGTGCATTTTTGCATTATGATATTGTTACAAGTTTATGGGGGCCAGGGAGTGAAATGTGGTAATTTAAATATTAGCCTCCATAAGCTCATAGGGAGTGGCACTATTAGGAGGTGTGACTTTGTTATAGTAGGTATGGCCTTGTTGGAGTAAATGTGTCACTGTGGGGGTGGGCTTTGAGGTCTCATCTATGCTCAAGTCACACTTAGTGCCTCAGTTCACTTCCTCTTGCCTGCACAAGATGCAGAACTCCTCGGCTACCTCTCCAGCATCATGTCTGCCTGCACACCACCATGTCCCACCATGAGGATAATGGACTAAACCTCTGAACTGTAAATCACCCAATTAAATGTTTTCTTTATAAGAGTTGCTGTGGTCACAGTGTCTCTTCACAGCAATAGAAACCCTAAGACAGGGTCTGAGGAAGTGGTGACATCTTCAGGAGGTCTCACTGAAAAAGTGGGTTGCTTGGGACAGGCTTTGAGATATATAAGGCAGCCTCATTTCCTAACTGTCTTCTTCCTGATTCAACCACATGAAGTTGCCAGCTGCCTCAGCTCCAGCTGCATAACCCATAATCTGTTCCTGCTGCCATGGTATCACGCTGCCATCTTACCACCATGCTTTCTTACCAGGATTGACTGTGCCTTCTCAAATCATAAACCAAAATAAATCCTTCCTACCTTAAGTTGCTTCTTTCAAGCATTTTATGTTTGACAAGAAAACTAATTAATTCAAATGCAAGTTCACCAGTTTACCTCATGGAGTCATCTCTCTTCCAGTCATGGCTTATCATGGAACCAGCTATAAACCCTTAGGTGAAATCTCTCCAACCACTTTCCAGTGCTCATAGGTGATACCATTCGTTAATTATTAAAACATCTAAATATTCACGTCTATTGTGCAGTCCCACAGCTGTACTTTCAGAGCTACTTTCATATCGGGAAAATCCTCACTTTTCTTTCCAGATCACCAATTCTCTCTTCAGTTGTGTCTAATCTGATGTCAATCCACTTCAGCAATTAATCCGTGCATTTCTAAAAGATCTACTTGTTTCTACTTCGTTTTCAACTCTTAATTGACACATCATGTTTTGCTACAATGATTTCATATTTTGTAACTTGGCATACCTGACAATTTTAGTAAGTTCTCAGGAAATTATACTAGTCATTATTTGGTTTTCCTTTTGTCTCAGAAGATGATCATTATCAATGACTAGAGTGTACTGAAGGGCTTGCTTATGAGACTGCACTTGTTTGAACAAAATGAGATCTCTGAGAGCATTTCTCTGGGTGAATTTATGTTAGTTTCTATTGGACAATGATGGCTACTCCCAACCTTCAGCCACATGAACCCACTTCTCAGGTTCAACACAGGGCGCTTTGAGTCTACGGCCTGGCCTCCTGTTCTAAGCTTCAGTGTGTGACCTTTACAGGATCCTACTTTCTGCTCTGTATTTGGGTTTGGGGAGGCTAGGAGAAGCATGTAGATGCCCTTGAACTCTCATGTATTTAATAATGTATTTAAAAGCACATTTAAGATCGGAATGTATGCCGGGCGGTGGTGGCGCACGCCTTTAATCCCAGCACCCGGGAGGCAGAGCCAGGCGGATCTCTGTGAGTTCGAGGCCAGCCTGGACTACCAAGTGAGTTCCAGGAAAGGCGCAAAGCTACACAGAGAAACCCTGTCTTGAAAAACCAAAAAAAAAAAAAAAAAAGATCGGAATGTATTACAACAGGAGGTCCTCTAGAGGATCAATTTGGGACAGCAGTCAGCATGGCTTCATTTCTGTCACATTATCCCATTCTTTTCAATAGTCCTGAGATGAATAATTTTATTCCCAATTAACAGAAAGGAGGTTAAATAACTTCAATTGCAGAACTAGTAAGCACAGAAGTATTAAACTCAGAAACAGGTCTATTGGAGGTGCTGGAGATTGAACCCAGGCATTGTACATGGTAGGCAAGCACTCTACCACTGAGCGACACACCCAACTCCTGCCACCCACGCTATTTACCACAATGTAACATTGCCTCTCATATAAGCACTGTGCATTCATAGCCTCCAAGGGGCATTTCTTTCTCACCTCTACTATGCTCAATTCTAGTTTTAGGTCTTGCTTTCTAATATCCTGCTACACTGCAGATATCAAACTGAATGGCTAATCCTTGGTGCTAATAGTGAAACACTGCTGAGTTTGAAGAGAAGAGAAAATGAAGTCAGCAGAAGGGACAGTATTTTCAGGAACACCATCTAAAACACAAGTCATAAACTTTAGAGGGACACTGTTTTGATCTTTTTAAGCCCAAGTTACTTTCCTTAAAAGTCATAGTATATTTTTGAAAAGTACATACATAAAATGTTTGCTAGGAAGCTGTGGAAATGGCTTACGTGTAAAGTACTTGCTCCCAAGTATAAGGACCTGAGTTTAGATCCTCAGTACCACATAAAAGCCAGGTGTAGCAGTGGGGACCTGTAACCCCAGCACTTGGGAGACAGAGGTGTGAGGATCCTGTGGCTTTGCTGGTCAGCCAGTCAACCCAGCTAATCAGCAAGCTCTAAATTTAGTTAGAAAATAAGAAAATATTTGTTTCAGAAAACTACTGTTTCAGAAAATAAGATGGAAAATAATTGAGAAATGCACACCATGTCGACCTCTGGCCTCTATGTGTGTGTACACACACACATGAAAAAGGTAGAGAAGAAACAGAAAGAAAATATTTGTTGATGAATGAAGTCTGGTGTTGCAAAAAACCTCCAGGCCACAAAAGGCCCCATTCATAACAGAGGAATCTTCTGGGTTGGGATGGGGCAAGAATATCTCTAGAAGAACCCAAAATGTGTTGTGCTTTATCTTGTTAGGGACAGACTCCTGGCAGGTCCCTATACCTTATTTTATGTTGAATAATTAGGTGTCAGGGAGAGGATTCTATTCAGTGACACTGTAACACTTGAATATAAAAGACCATCTTTGTGCCAGAAGTTAGCTTAATGTAATCTGACTGAGAACCCGGGCTTTCACATCAGGACAGGTCGCACCAAAAAACACTCTGAGATTTGACAATGTGCACATAAAGCATATAAGTAACACATAAGGAACTGAAAGTCTACAATTTACCTCCTGCCAAAAATACTAGATAACCTGATAGCAATGAAGAAAATGATGGTATTTTTTAAATTATTTTGAAGGATACTTGAACAAACAAGTTTGAAATCCAGTGTGTCAGACTCACAGGTGTGTCCTGAACTCTCTCTCTCTTTCCAAACAGTCTTAATTCACCAGTGGGCTTCATCAACAAGAGACTGGCCCCCAAATGCTCCCATAGTGGTTGTCAAGCATTCTGGAATTGATGCTAAGACTTTTTTTTATCTGCCTTCCAAAGTCTGATATGGTATAGTCAATCTAATATAACCGCATACTCTTGTACATTCTGAAAACATTGCTGTCTTGATGTGTGCATGTGGCAAATTGGTCTTTTCTTTGTCTTTGGTTTAATAAATCAGTTCACAGTTGCTGGCTGGAAAGTCAGACCAGAGCCAGCACAGTGGCTATGAGTAGTAATGAGTGGGCAGGATGCTGTGCTGGGCTCTGAGCAAAACAATCGATCCCCCTGTCATTTACACTATCTCTAACGGAGGAGAGAGCCAAACCCCGGAGGAAGCATGAAATACCGAGGACTCCCATAATCCTGCCTAGTTTATTTACGATTCCCTCCTCCTTCCTTCCTGCCTGTCCAGATGGCTTCCCCCTTTGTTTCCCAGGCTGAATAATGCCCACTCCCTTTGAGATGCTGATGACTTCACAAACCTTCCTCTTGAGTCCCCACAAAGAGAAACCATGAAGTCTTACCTCTGTCGAATTATGCTGGGATTAGCTGTCACCAACTGAGTTTTGGATCCGACATCCCTGATGTACTCACTTGACAAAGGAGGGAGATTACATCTAGAAATGCAAGAGGGAACATTTCAAAATGACTCACGTACTTTTAAATCAAGTCAATTATAAGGACACAAATAGGAATGTTAATTCTGGCTCAATTCACAAATAACTGTTTTCAGCACCATTCCCTTTTCATAGGCATTAGATGACTAATGAACCATTAGCATCATCCAAGTGCTGGGGGGCTAGTTTTTTTGTGTTTGTTGTTGTTGTTTGTTTGTTTTTGTTTGTTTGGGGGTTTTTTGTGCATGTGTGTTATTGTTGTTGTTGTTAGAAGAAAATGTCAGGGATAGAAGTAGATGATCTATCAAAGAAGAGATGATAACTACAGTGTATCTGTTTTGCTGAAAATATATTTGAAGTATGGTGTCATACACCTGTAATCCCATACTTGGGAGGTAGAGAATACAGAATCCAAAGCAGCCTTGGTTACACAGTGCGTTTAAGTCAGCCTGGGCCACACGAAATCTTGTGTCAAAAGGAAACATAAGAATGAATGAATGAATGAATGAATGAATGAATGAATGAATAAATAAATAGGGGCTTGAGAGATGGCTCAACCAATAAAAGCATTTAGTGCTCTTGCAGTGGACCCAGGACTCAGCACCCACATGGCAGCTCACAGCTGTCTGTAATCCGATTCCTGGAGACCTGATAGCCTCTTCTAGGTTTTGCTGGAACCTACACACGGGATGCATATACACTCACAGGCATACTATACACATTCATATAAAATAAAATAAATCTTCATAAATAATGAGAAAGGAAACAACATTTGAAGTGGTAGAACAGAGCACTTTAAGCTTGAAATGAGGCCTCAGAAGGTAGAGGGCAGATGCCCCACCCCACACCCTCTGCCTACATATAAACACTGATGAATTATGCTATTTTCTCATGTTTTTCTTTATTTTCCAAAAATTTACATTGTAGCAGCACTTTCTGGGTCACGTACTATTCAGCTAACCTAATGCATGAATGATTTCTGTACATGTGGCCAAGGTGTAGGTGGATTAAGGTGATGACAGAGAGCACTGTCACCCAAAACACTGTGGTGTTCTGTACCCAAAAAACTGTACTGCTCTGCCAAGGGTAAAAGTGGTGCGTGTGGGGAGGGCGGAGGAGGGAGTGGTATGCTCTGTGCACACAAGTGGAGACCAGAAGTCAACATTAAGTGTCCTCCTCAATCACTGTCCACCTTACTTTTTGAGACAAGGGCTCTCACTGAACCTGGAACTCACTGACGTGGCTGCATTAGCTGGCCAATGAGCTCCGGGATCCTCCTGTCTGCTTCCATGGCACTGAGATTATAGGCACCTACCACCATGCCTGGCTTTCGCTCTTCTCACGGGGGTGGGGGTGGGGGGTGGAACTCACACCCTCAAGCTTGTGTGGCTAGGACTTTACCAACTGAGCCATCTTCCCAGCCTAAAAAGTGATGCTCTCCATGAGAGAGAGCAATCACCCCACTCCTACCCCCAAACTCCATCCCTGCCCTAACTGTCTCCTTTGGTAAAGATGGCTTAGGAATGCATGGAGTGTGGGAAACACAGCTGTCTCACATCCAAACCTGTGGCTTTCTGCCTGCAGGCATCAGGAGGTTCATGCATTTCCCTGTCCACAGTTCCTCCATAACCTGGAACTAGGATAACAACTTTGCTTGCCTTCCTGGGCCATGGGAAGGACTAAGAGCACCCTGTTAAAACTCTGTATTTTGATGTTTCACACAGCCAAAACTATCCTGGTAGAAAGACCACAGAAATCTGATTATGCATTTACATTATAAGTTGAATCTTTCCCCTCCAACCACATGTCAGACTTGACTCCTACCACATCAGGGCATGTCCAACTTGCATGATTTATTTATAGATAAAGATGTGGTCTCTGTGAGCTGTTAAATTTTCCCTACCAGTGTGCCCTGGGAGACGAAACTGCCCATGCACCTATCAGCTGACCCGCTCCCATCCCCACCTTCTCTTTCTTATGAGCCCCGTGACTCCCACCACACCAGGCTATCCAGGCAGAAACATCTCCATGTTTATTAAAAATCTCCCTTTCATCTGCCTGTGGGTAATTAAAAAAAAAAAAAAAAAAAAAACACTGGGTTTTCCGGTAGCCACACACGGGTCAGCCAGCCAGCTGGTGATTTGTTGAATGTTCACTGAAAGCAAACAGGGGGCATTGTGGAACACTGTGGAGGAGCTGGTCACAAAGCCCATGCTTAAGGCATCTCCAAGCTCATGGTGACACCATACCCCATGTGGCTTCCTGAGGAGTCTTGCAGAAGAGTGGACTCAGCATCAACAACCAGGCCCCATCATGCAGTAGTATGGATCAGATTGTGATTGCACTATTTAACTGTTCTTTGCAAAGACAAGATGGCTTCTCAAATAAAACACAGGCTAAAATTTGGACGTGCCTCTTAAGGATGCTTTGATCTGGACTGCCCTTGTTAATATCTGAGAGTCAACTTTAGGTTCTAAATTTTCCTAGGGAGTCCTTGTAACATGTCTTGTCAATAACAAAATAGTTTTCATATACAATCTTTTGCTTTCTTCTGTGTTCCATGATTCATATGCCTGGATCCATTTATATCTTTTACCATGGAGTAAAATCTCAAAAAAAAATTTTGCCAATAAATAAGCAAACAAAAAAACCCCAAACAACAATAAAATTTGCAGAATTGGTTTCTCCTCTTAAAAGAGGGGTGCTGATGGCAAGACAGACGTCACATGCGGCTTTCTGAAAACTGATAACAGTGTGTATTGGTGAAATGTCTGCCTTCTGTTCTGTCAACATTCTCTTCCAGCACAAATAACAGGGCCTTTTCCTGTATCTCTTTCCTTAGGAAAAGTGCACTAAGAGTTTAGCTCCTCAATTCCTAAATTGATAATTACATAGATTTACATAAAAGGCCCATTTAATACAGTCAAATTGTTTCTAATAAGGCATAATTGGATAAAGTGTCCCAAATTCCACATTATTGCTTGTTGGCACAATTGAGAAAACATTAGTTGCTTAAAGTATCTCCATAATGGTAATGCTTGTGATCCTGAAAGAGATCCAGGAACAGAAGAGTAAAATGGATGAGGAATGGCATGCTGGATAGGACACTCAACAAAGGAAAAACACAGTGTGTGTGTGTGTGTGTGTGTGTGTGTGTGTGTGTGTGTGTGTGTGTGTGTGTGTGTAAAAGCCCACAGAACAGTCTTCTGCACACAATCCGAAAGGCTTCAAAACTGTTGCAATACTGTGACTGTGAGCCACACAGTCTGTCTTCAATGTACAATCATTATTACTACTTCTGCCTTGAAATGTTCTAGAGAAATTGAATTCAAGAATTTGTTGTTATTGTTCTGAGACAGGGTCTCCTGTAGCCCAGGAATACCTCAAATTCCCAAGGATGATCCTAAATTTCTGATCCACCTCCCAAGTGCTGGGATTAGAGGTGTGTCCTACCACATCCAGTTTTATCTAAGTACCCTACCCACTTAGCCACACAACCAGCCCCACAAAATTATTTTTAAAGTGCCACTTTTGGTTAAAGAATAAATGTGCATTTTGAAAAATGGGAAATTGGTTTTTAACATTTTGAAGAATATGTCTAGACAATGTCTGTACAAAGAATATTATAGAATGCTTGAAGGACAGGCCTGGAGGATATTCTCAACTGTAATCTGGGTACACTGTATAGGCAAGTCTGTGTGGAGACCCTCTTCCCCCTACTTCATTTACCTATACCACAGCTTTCCAATCTCCCAGGCACTCAATAGTCCTGAACTTGTATAGTATCCACAGCAGATTGTGTAAAAGGCCAACCTATTCATGTCAATTTGGGATAAATGGGGCACCATGAGATAATCCCCTATGGTGCTTAGGCCAGCTCTTCTCCATGTTAAGTTGAAAATACTCATCTTCCTAATGGTAGCCAGCCACACACACACACACACACACACACACACACACACACACACACACACACATTGGGAGCAATAGAATCTGCTGTTGCTAAACAGCTTGGCTCCCCCTTGGGCTGCAGGGTAGCTGAGAGCAGGGGGAGGGACCGCATCTCTGTCCTCATCTTGTGCCTGCACGTGGGATGCTACAGCAGAATGTCACTGTTCTTAGCCCTTCTCTTGAGTCACCTTAAATTCCAGGCAAATAAAAACCTCATAGGACAGGCCTCCCACCCCAGATGAGGACGGTTATCCATGAGGGCAAGTATGCACCCTCGGGACGAACAGGGTTAAGGGAAGACTCAGCAGGGTGGACTAGCTTGTAGGACAGGATGAGAGCTGTAACCATGATGGGTCGGTGATGGCTAGAATTATGGGACTACTTCATTATGCACAGCCTGCTGGAGCTGCTGAACCAGGCTCCGGCCTTAAAGCCTCTTCTAACATTTCCTCACTGAATGTGCTTCAGAGCAGCTTGAAGGTTTGAAAAGAATGTAAACAGGACAATGGTACAGTATTCACAGAAGTATGTATGAAATCAGGGTTGACCGAGGGATGTCTCCTTCCCCTTCCTCCAACAGTCTAGGCAGAGGTAAAATGATATCATGTAGGACACCAACCTGGTTAACCATGAGGCTGGCATGTCCTCCCAACCCTGTTCTTTATTAGCTTTTCAGCCTCATGTAACAACCCAGGGACTGGAGTGGGTGCTGACATCACTGTGGTTCCCTGCTACCCTCCTCTGCCTCTGCCTTCTGCGAGACTTTATCCACTCCTGTGATGAAAATATGTCTCCTACATCTTCTCCCATGTTTGGTGACACCCAAGCAGCACTCACTGGAGCTGTAGAGAAGGCTGCTCCACGGAACCTTCCTCTGTGTTAGAGCTTATTGAACCTTGCTCCTCAGCCTGCGGCAGGCACCTTGCCTCTCCTGAAACAAGTGCAGCGCTTACTGTCTTCAAACACCCCCACTCCTTCCCTATCATTTGTGACATTGCAAAAATAACGTAAAATCAACTAAATAGCAGTGGAGAAGAAAACACAATCCTACAGTGGAAAATTACAGTACTCTTGAAGGAAAGGCAGGAAGGGAAGGACACCCCCACACCTACACCCCACACCCCCACTGCCACAAGTTTCACCAAGTGAGATGCCATGTCTTGATGGCGAAGCTACTCTCCTCTGAGAGAGTATGTGGCATTCTCTAGGGAAATGGCTCCACCTGAAACACTCTCACACAGCTCCAAGCTCCAAGTCGGATTAGAGTTCTCAGAGCCCCAGCCCCACCCCCACCCTGCATGTACACCCATGGTGTGCGTGTGTGTGTGTGTGTGTGTGTGTGTGTGTGTGTGTGTGTGTGTGTCCATGCATGTAGAGGCTAGTGGTCTGCAACAGTGTCTTCCTCAGCCACTCTCCCTCTCATATTTTGAGCCAGGGTCTCCTGCTTGAGATCTCTCACCTGAAGAGATCAATTCAGCTAGACTGGCTGCTCTATAGACCCAAGGCATCCTCCAGTCTCCACCTCCCTACCTCTGGAATTATGAACACATCTGGCCTTTTAGGTAGATACCAGCATTCAAACTTAGGTCCTTTCTGGTTAGAGGATCCTTGGGTTCCTGGTTCATAGTCATTCCTATGTCCTTGAAATTTTGGGGTTCATCTGAAAGATTCCCCCAACCTTTCAATGTTCTTTTGTTTCCTCAGTGAGACATGTTTTCCTTTTTCCACACTATGTCTCAGATAAACTGAGCTTGCACTCCACGGTCCATGCTCAGCCTTGAACTCATTAATTATTCTACATTTCCCTCACCACCACCCCCTCCACTCCATAACCCCACCCTGAACGACCCCGTCACTTGGCCCGTTCCTCTACTCCATCACACCTCTCATTGCAGAGCCCACTCCTTATCCTGACCTGGCTTCGGGATGTGTCACCTCACGTGATTTCTATCCAGAGCCCTCCCTCCTGACACTCCACCTTCCCTCCTTCTTAGCTAGACACCTGCTGTCTGTGCTCTCCACATGTCTCCTCAGCAGCGTTTGCTCAGACTCACCCAGCACCGGCTGGCGGTCTGCAGTGTGAAGGTGTCTTCCTTTGGTCAGGCTTAGCAGTTTTTATCACTGCCCTGAAGGGGCCCCTTGTCCTTTACAGCACTCATGTCTGTGTCCCCACATCCCCATGCTGCTCAGTCCCTTGACCAAGGTTCCTCCTGATGTGAAGTTCCCTCTCCGATGCTTCTTGCCAGTTTCCTAGTCACACGCAGACCAAACCCCATCTTTAGATCCCACTTGTTCCTTTCTAATGCTTCTGTGGAAAACTAAGAAGAAAAGGGTACACTTACAATGACTAAAATGTTTATGCATATGGAGTCAGTCCTGAGGAAAGAGCAATTTTCAAGGTTTTTATCGCCCAAGTACATAATCTCGGGGAAGGTCTGAGCCCGGACTTCTCCCTGCGGCCCTCATTAGCAGCTGAGTGTTACCTCTGCTACTGCAGAGCCTTCTTGGCTTTAGGATTTCTTGGGGGAAAGCCCCTCGCTCGCTCCTTCCCTGGGTGCACTTCTAGACCAGAAGCTAAAGGCAGCTAAAGACAGGGGATTAACTGCAAGCCACTAGGTTTGAAAGGCCCGGGGCTAAGGAAGGGCGGGAAAAAGGAGAGGAGTCAGAGGCCACACTGTGGGTGCTCTCTTACCGCATGACAAAATCTGCTTCATCTATTTGACGGCCACAGCCACTCATCTTCAGAATCCCACCGTTTCCCACCACCGCACATTTCTTCAATGGCAGCTGGAAGGGGGTTGCCTAGCAACAGAAAACAAGGCGGGTTTTCACTGCAGAGAACATACAAGCGCATTGTTGACAGCAGACCTGAGGAATTTGAAGGAAGACTCGGCAGGGCAAAAAGAATACTGAGAAGGAGGAACAAACTGGCCTGTTTCTTTGAGCTTTAAAAGGGCGGGAGGGTGAAGCAAAACTACAAAAAGTCCCTGGAATATATTTAAATGTAACAACGTCATTGTTTTTGTTTTTGTTTTTTTCCTTCTCAAACTGGCTGAGCATATACCACAGGGTGTTTGCTAGGGAAAACAGAAAAGTCCAAACTAAATACAAGACTGTTTCTAAAGGCCTCAGACAGGAAATAAAGCCCAGTGAATCCTGTTCTTCGTGTGATCGCAAGGGCACCATGAGCCATTAGCTTCCCAACTGTTTCTGGGTATTTCGTACATTAACTGCTGGAGACAGCTAGGATACAGAAGTCTGAAGCTTCAAGATTCACAGTGTGGGGTGTGAAGAGAGGAAGGAGTGACGAGTGTGAACTTTGGCCACATATGAAACTGTACCATAAAGTTGCCGACTTTGCTGAAGAGGAAGCCTCAGCGATCACTAGGAAAAGCCACGAAGGAGTAGGTAGGTACTCAGACAGAGCTTTGTCATTTGAAGAATAAGTAGAGGGCTAAGGAGATGACTCAGTCAACAAAGTGCTTGTCTAATGAGTGTGAGCTCCTGAGTGTGAGCCATAAAACTTGTATGAAAAATCTGAATACGACTGTGTACGCTCAGAATCCTAGAATGGGGGAGGGGGGCAGTGAAGACAAGACAAGGAGATTCTGGTGCCCACTGGCCAGCCAGCCGGGCAGAATCATGAGCTCCAGGCTAAGTACAAGACCCTTCCCCCAAAAATAAGATATAAAGCAATTGATAAAGACACACAGTGTTGACCTTTGGCCCTCAGGCATGTACACACACACACACACACACACACACACACACACACACACACACACACAACTCACATAGAAAGAAGAACCCTCGGGACCCTGCCAGGCAGAAGCGGCCGTACAAACAAAGGAATCAGTGTTGCTGGAAGGAAAGACGCTGCTTGTGAGCAGAACACCCTGGGTGGTTCTGTTTAGAATTCGAGAGCCATTAAGGGACAGGTGACTTGTGTCACACCAGACAGCATGTGACTTTCTTCTGCAAATATCGAGCTAGACTGCAAAGAAAATGTTCTGTGTGCCTGAGTGCTCCCTGGAGTGCTATTTATAGTGCCAGGGAATATGGAAACCCAGTAATAGTCCCTGAAAGTGAAATGAATCATTTGGCCTCTTCTAGCTGGGTCAGCAAGAACTGCCAGGTACCCAGGCTCCTTGGAGATGCTGGAACAGAACAGCCGTTGGCGTTCTTGGGGGAAATACCTTGAATACACACATAAACTGGTCTAGAAAACAGCCAGATTGATAGGCCTCACCATTTGCATGGATCACATGCAAATAATACAGACTATACCGAAGATAAAATGGAATCAGTTCATGAATATACAATAGAAGGCCCCTGCCTGGGCATGAAGTAATAACTCAGCCAGGAAAAAATTCCCGGGAGTCTCTGCTTTCATTGGTAGCTGAAGGAAGCACTTAGTCCAACATGAGAAGATATTATTCCCTTGATTTCTAGTAGTAAAATGAACAGCCAGAGCTATGTAAATATTGGTGATAAATATGTGGTGTTTGAAGTGTAATGTCTAAGCATTTGCCCACAGGGAGAAAAGAATTGCCTGCACCACCACAGCAGAGATCAGCCCAATAAACTGCTCCAGAGTGAGGTGCGTGCATGAGGGGAGACAGGTAAGGGAGAGCAACTTTGTACAGAACGATGTATATTATTATTTTTTTAGTCATTCCTGAAAAGATTTGGAATTAACCCTTGAAAAACAGCATTATCCATAACTGGTGAGATGGAGAGCTGGGGACTGCTGTTCACATTGGCTTGCCTGTGTATTCCACAAATGGTTATTGTGACATGTGATTGGTGAAGACGAGTCAAAACCCATGCTCCCTGGGTGCTCACACCATACTGAGGAGAGAAAAGCAAAGGAATGCAGGGGAAATGAGCAGGAGGACAGATGGTGAGGTGGTCTGTGGCGAGAAACCGGGGATCAGCACAAGATGGTCCAGAGATGCTTCCTGACAGGAACTGCAAAGGTCAGCAGGGTGATCAGCCACAGTGCAGAGGAAGCCCTTGAGCAGATTCCTGTAGCAGCTGAGAGTGTGAGGACTTAGTAGCATCCACTGGTACAAAGACCTTGAAGAGGGGACATTCCTAGGGGGAGATGGGAGGGGGGCAAGGGCCTCTTTTGTCTGCAGATGAGTCAGCAGGGAGAGAGAAGTAGAGACTGGTAGGAAATAAGTGGGGAGGTTGGTGAATGAGGCCACATAGGGTGTCATGAAGACAGTGATTTTTATTCTAAGATGAGAACAAGTCAATGGCAATGGGCAGAGGGGTGCCATTGTGACCTGTGCTGGAGTGAGAACAAGATGAACCGAGACTAGACAGGAAAAGGGCCCAGGGTGGAGTCTGGTGTGATATTCCTAGCCAGGGACTTTAAGGACCTGGAACAAGGAGACAAGAGAGAGGAAAGAGATCTGACTCTGGAGGGATCTGGAGGAAGTGGCAAATGAACTTGCTGGTGTACAAAAACAAAGGAAGGAAAGAAAACAGAGAACGAGAGCGGAATGGGGAATGATGCCAATAGTTTCGTCTTCCACCGATGACCAGCTGTTTCCTGGGCTAGAGAGGACCACAGCAGGGGGCACGTTTGGGGGACTGATCAAGAGCTCAGTCTGGAGAACATAAGGGTACTGTGATCTTCAGATGTCCACGTGGCCCTGTCTATTGTGTGACTGAGTACGCAGTCAGGGAACTGGTCTGTGTGAAGTGAAAAATGAAGAATGTCTTAGGAATTCTATTGCTGTGACGAGACACCATGACCATGGTAACTCTTACAAAGGAAAACATTTAATTGGGGTGGCAGCTTACAGTTCAGAGGTTTAGTTCATTATCATCATGGTGGGACATGGTGGCATGCAGGCAGACATGGTGCTGGAGAAGCAGCTGAGAGTCCTACATCTTGCACGTAACAGGAAGTGGTCTGTCTCACTGGTATGGTTTGTATAGCATGAATCCTGATTGGTTTTAATAATAAAAACCTGGAGCCACACATGAGGGGAAAAGCTGAAAGATCAGAGAAGCAGAGCAGCCAGCCACAAGTTCTTACCGCTATAAAATACTCAGACTGAGCTGCTGTCTCCTCCCACCTTATATTCCTCTCTCCACCCAGCCATCTCACTTCCTATCTCCACGTCCCTAGTACTGGGATTAAAGGTGTGAGATCCCAAGTGCTAAGATCAAAGGTGTGTACCACCATTGCCTGGGGCTTGACCATATATGAGACCTCAAAGCCCACTTCCACAGTGACACACTTCTTCCAACACGACCACACCTACTCTAACAAGGCCACACCTCCTAAAAGTGCTACTCCCTTTGGGAGGCATTGTTGTTGTTTGTTTCTGCTCTATTTGGGGGCCTGCCATCCAGCTCCCATATAAATCACACATGGGAGCTTATTCTTACTTAGGAATGCCCGGCCTTAGCTTGGCTTAGTTTCTTGCCAGCTTTCCTTAACTTAACTTATACCATCTACTTCTCGCCTCTGGGCTTTTCCCGTTCTCTTACTTCTGTAAATCTTATTCCATGGCTGGCTGTGTAGCTGGGTGGCTGGCCCCTCATGTCCTCCTCCTTCTCTGACTACTTCTCTGTCCTCCCAGATTTCTCCCTCTGTATATTCTTCCTGCCAGCCCCACCTACCCTTTCTCCTGCCTCGCTATTGGCTGTTCAGCTCTTTATCAGACAATCAAGTGTTTTAGACAGGCACAGTAACACAGCTTCACAGAGTTAAACAAATGCAACATAAACAAAAGTAATACACCTTAAAATAATATTCTACTACAGGCCATTTTCTTTCAAACCACCACAGAGAGTGATCGGGTTTTTAAAGTCAAGAGCCAGCATGGAGGTGAACAGAAAAAAGATGAGGTCTTAGGGAACCAAGCCACAGGAAGCAAGCAGTCAAGAAGGAGGGAAAATGCACCAAGTGTTCCTAACAGATGAAGGGTAATAACAGCTGAAACCCGCCCCTGGACTGGGCAACATGGAGGCCACAGGTGTCCTTGACAGGAGAGGTTCAGCAGTAAGAATGAAAGTTGACCTGAGTCTACTGAGTTGGATGTATATAAATGTATATCCATTTAGATGTACCCTGGAAAATCATATACCTAAAGAAAATAGGCAATTAATATGTGAATATACACTATGAGTCTCACATAGTCCTGCTGTAACGATTAAGCTGGGGGGGGGGGATCCAGGCATTCTCCACTAATAGTGGGACTTATAAATGCAAGCCCCAAACCCCTTAGCTGTTAAAGAGGAGAACCTGAACACAGAGGGCTGGCTACCCCAGGTTTTCAGGCAAGAATGTGGGCTCTGGACAGGTAGACTCTGGTAGCAGCTACATAGCCCTGAAGGATATAGGACCAGGCTATGGCACAGTGGGGCAGATGTCACAAGCCTCCATGCTCTGCTCCTTCCTTCCACAGGGAGGTCATACTGTGCAGGACGCTGTGGAAGCAGTAGCTGATGGACAGAACTCCCTCTGTGCCCCAGAAGAGCAACCCACTCACCTTCCTTCCTGTTTCCATTCCTTGTCTCCTCCCACCAGAGTCATGGACTTGTCTACACCTTGGCAATTCTAGATTCCAAGGGCTTTCATGGACAAGACAAAGGAGTGATTTGTTTAACTGTCTAACTCTATCTTAACAATAAAGAACCACTTTATTAGGAGAAAAATTAAGTAATATATGTCTACGCCCTTAGCACCACCCTCCAAATACTCAATCAAGCAAAATTTGAGGCTCTAGGGAAAAGGCAGGGCTCTGACTTTCATCCGACACTTGTTTGCTCCTTCATTT